AAATAGAAAATTTATTATTAGATTTAATTATATACATTCAAGTTCTTTGTAGATTTTAATATATTATAACTAGCGATTATTACAATGAACAAATATATAATAAGTATTACTAATAGATATAGAGGAAAATAAATATTTATCGTCATTAAACTTCCAATTGATGTATTTCAGTCTGCTGATAACATAATGATACAAATAAAGGTACAGATTCATTTTATATTTCAGTCTGCTGATAACATAATGATACAAATAAAGGTACAGATTCATTTTATATTCCATATAACGAGCAAATTAGATGTTATTATAACTGTATACATTATCAATACCATAATACCACCGACAAAAACGATTATTATCAATAAAAATGCTAAATTCACCCCTTTCCAAGACGGATAGACCACATAAAACACAAGTGTAAAAAATAATGATTAATAAATTTATATGGTTTTTATGATTTAGAAGCAAGTATAAATTACCTATTATAATAAAGGATATGAATATTTTCAAAAATAGTGTTCACTACTCTTTAACTTCCAAAGTTAATATTAACCATAACTGTTTTTGAACATATTTAATTAAGATACACGTTTATAAAGGAGAAACACTAGTCTCTAGATTACTATGAAAATCTGGAGGAAGTGCGTAATCTCATTCTCGAGATCTATGTGAACTTTCAGAAAATAAGTAACTCCGCTGTGACGTTAGAGCTTCTCATACTAAGAAAATGAACATTAATACTGCAATAATTCTGAATAGGGATCCAAATGATGAGATTTGATTTCACTTATAATATGTATCAGGATAATCAACATACCGTCGTGGTATTCCAGCCAAGCCTAAAAAATGCTGTGGAAAAAAATGTTATATTCACAGCAAAGAACATAATAAAGAAATGAATTTTGGATCAAGATTCATGTATAGTTAATCCAGTAATTACTGGAAATCAGTAAACAAACCCAGCAAATAAAGCGAAGACTGCTCCTATTGATAATACATAGTGAAAATGAGCTACCACATAATATGTATCATGTAATATAATATCTAGAGATGAATTTGAAAGTACAATTCCGGTCAAACCTCCTAGTGTGAATAAAAAGATAAATCCTAATACTCAGTATATACTAGCAGTAAGTTTAGATTTACTTCCATAAATCGTTATTATTCAGCTAAAGACTTTAATCCCGGTTGGTACAGCAATTACTATTGTTGCTGCTGTAAAATATGCTCGAGTATCTACATCTATACCTACTGTAAACATATGGTGTGCCCACACAATAAAACCTAAAAACACCAATACTTAACATAGCATAAAATTATTCCTAAGGTACCAAATGCTGGTTTATTAGTAAAGTTAGATAAGATATGTCTGATGATTCCAAATCCAGGCAAAATTAAAATATACACTTCTGGATGACCAAAAAATCAAAATAGATGTTGATATAGAATAGGGTCTCCACCTCCTCTTGGATCAAAGAACCTAGTATTAAAATTTCGATCAGTTAATAGTATAGTAATAGCCCCTGCTAAAACAGGCAATGACAATAATAATAAAAATGCAGTAATTAACACCGATCAAACAAATAAGCTTATGCGTTCCAGTGTAATACCAGGTGAACGTATATTAAAAATGGTAGTAATAAAATTAATAGCACCTAGAATAGATGATAACCCAGCTAAGTGTAATGAGAAAATAGCAAGATCTACTGATGAACCAGAGTGAGCTACAGGTCCTGATAGAGGGGGGTAAACAGTTCACCCAGTTCCAACTCCACCCTCTACTATAGACCTACATAATAATAAGATAAATGAAGGAGGTAAAAGTCAAAATCTTATATTATTTATTCGAGGAAATCTTATATCGGGAGCACCAATTAATATAGGTACTATTCAATTCCCAAACCCTCCAATTATTATCGGTATAACTATAAAAAAAATCATTACAAAAGCATGTGCTGTAACAATTACATTATAAAAATGTTCATCCAATAGTACAAGAGATGTTCCTAATTCCAAACGAATTAACAAGCTTAAACCTGTACCGACCAATCCACACCAGATCCCAAAAATTAAATATAATGTTCCAATATCTTTATGATTAGTAGAATATAATCAACGCAAAGCAAAATAGATTTATTTTTAACAAAAGTAATAGAGGAGCTAAGTGTATTCCTATAACTAATATTTGATTATTAGTTAACTGATTTCCTCCAATAATAAACTCACTACCTTTACCATGATTAACCGCAGTATATAAAAATATATTATAACAGGCTGATAAAAAAATACACAGTCCTATTGTTACTATAAAATATACTCCTAAATTTGATAGCATTGGAACAATTAGTATCTCACCAATTAAATTTAATGTTGGCGGTGCTGCTATGTTAATACAAGTAAAGATAAATCATAGTAATGATAAAATCGGAAATATTGTTAAATACCCTTTTATGTATATTATACTTCGACTTGAAATTTTTTCATATCTATAATAAGCTAAACAAAACAAGGCAGATGAGCTAAAAGCATGGGCAAATATGGTTACAGTAGCCGCAAAGACACTTGAAGTGTTGTTATATAATGCCCCTAAGACCACCACCCTCATATGCCCTACTGACGAATAAGCTACTATGGCCTTTACATCAACTTGACGTAAACATATCAATCTAGATAAAACAGCACCCCAAATACTTAAAGAATAGATGAATACTCTTACAAGATTTATTCTTCTAATCGTAAATGTATTTCCCATTTTAACCAATCCATATCCTCCTAATTTTAACAATACACCAGCTAAGATTATTGAACCAGCTAAAGGAGCTTCTACGTGTGCTTTAGGAAGCCACAAATGAGTGCTATAAATTGGTAGTTTCACTAAAAATGCAGTTAAAACAAAAATGACTATATATCAATCCAAAGGGGTTTTGTTTAAACATTTCTAAAATTTGAAAATCACAAGTATTATGTAAATTAAAAAAATACATAATTATGACCAACAATGGCAGAGAAGCAAAAACTGTGTATAATATTATATAGGTACCGGCCTGCAATCGCTCAGGTTGATACCCTCAGCCGATGATTAGGGCTAATGTAGGAATTAAAGAGGCCTCAAAAAATATATAAAAATAAAATATATTCTTAGTACTAAACGTCACAACTAGGAAGATTGCTAATATGATCAGTGTAGTGTTGTATTTAACAGATGATAGATTTTTAGAGCTAAGAAAAAACCAATAAAAAAAGATAAACAGTTAAAAAAATCAATATATTTCTCAGAGCTCTTGAGTTTCATCCAATGTTCACGCTAAAAGTAAAAAACTGATTAATATTAATTAATCTTATTAAACTGGCCATAGAAAGAGAAATTATAACAAAAACTCAGTTATTACATAATAAAATACTACCAATTAGAACAAAAAAAATTGATATTATCATATCTAAGAAAGACGGAAGTAAAATTTCCTCCCCTATTAAAGTTAGCAGCTTCAATATTATCTTTCCTTATAACTTTTGTTAAGTGAACGATTTTGAAAATCGATCCAGAGATAAATCAAGAGTATCTCAACAAAAAATAATAACTAGTCATGTGTTCATTTGCATAATTCTGTCAACCGCTTTATTTCTAATATATATATTTCTAGCAAAACTCATATCAAGTAATCAAAATCTAAGAAAACTAACATCGTTTGAGTGTGGATACGACTCAATAAGCAAAAATACGATCGCCATTTTCGACGAAATTTTTTGCGCTAATCGTTCTATTTGTTGTATTTGATATCGAACTCGCTCTGTTTTTTCCTCTAGCCTATTCGCTTCAAATCTATGCGGACCTTAAGAGTATTATGATTCTGATAGTAATCCTGTTGATTCTTATTGCTGGGGTATTTCTTGAATGACATAATGGTGCGTTGGATTGAAAATTATAAAGATTAAATGTAGCTTAAATAAAAGCACTTAACTGTTAATTAAGAAGATACAATTATGTAGTCATTTAAACATCCCTCAACTCAGCCCCCACTTATGGAATTCTAATTTTCCTATTTGTAAACTCGACTTTGTTCTTTATTATTATTATAAATACATATAATCGAAATAAAAAAAATAACGAAATAACTTAGTAATACGAATATTGCTAGATCTAAATTCTCGCTATTGTACTTTAAGATGGCAGACTAAAATGCATAGACTTTAAGCGTCTAAGATGGGGTTAAGTCCCTCTTAAAACAACCTATAGATGATAATATATTTTTAGTATCACAAACTAATGGTTTATTTTAACCTACTACAGGAGCTTTTAAAAAAGATTTTTTACTTGGAAGGTAAGTGTAATGTTTATACTACTAAAAACAAATATATTATTTCTCCAAGGCATTTTTTCACAGAATTGAACTAATAGGCATTAAAAATAATAGAAAAAAGTACATAAAAGTTATTGGGACAGCTAAGGTACTATAAGGGGCTTCAATAGGACAAGACCCTAACCAGGTCAATAATATAAAATTACCACAAAACAACCAAAACAGTACTTGATATATTAAGTTAAACGATGTAGAAATTATTTTTTCAAATTTAATTATAGGTAGAACATACAACACTATAATTCTTGCAGCCAAAGCGATAACCCCACCCAATTTAGAAGGAATGGATCGTAAAAATCGCATAAGCAAATAAAAAATATCATTCTGGTATAATATGTACTGGCGTAACTATCGAATTAGCTAACTGATAATTTTCGGGGTCTCCTAAATAATTTGGGAAGTATAATGATACGAAAATTAATATTATTAATACAGTAATAAACCCTACACTATCTTTTCACGTAAAATAAGGATGAAAGGGTACTTTTCTGAGATGGTTAACACAACCTAATGGGTTAGTGCTGCCTATTTCATGAAGAAAAAACTAAGTGTAATATGGCCAGAATTATGATAATAAATGGTAAAATGAAATGTAATGAATAAAATCGATTTAGTGTAGCCTGACCAATACTAAAACCTCCTCATACTCATTCAACAACTATACCACCAACATAAGGGATAGCTGATAAAAAGTTAGTAATTACAGTAGCACCTCAAAAAGACATTTGACCTCAAGGAAGAACATACCCTAAAAATGCTGTTGCTATGCTCAATAAAAAAATTCTAGTCCCCTACCATTCAAGATTTAGGTTGTGTAATATAACTTTGGTAATACAAACCTCGAGCAATATGAAGATATATAAAAACAAAAAAGAAAGAGGCTCCATTAGCATGGAGACTACGGACCAACCAACCTATTGGAACATCACGAATAATATGAATAACAGATTCAAATGATCTGGCAATATTAGCTGTATAGTGTATAGATAAAAAAAATCCAGTTAAAATTTGCAAAAATAACATTAGACCTATAATTGAGCCTATGTTTCATCAGATAGAGATACTCATAGGTCTAGGCAAGTATGTAATTTCCTTAATGACAGTACTTTTTAATTTTATGTGGAAATAGAACATTTCACAATATTCACTTATTAGATGCAAACTAATTCTTCTTTATCCTTAAAGTATATTTCCAACTGATGTGACCACCATCTACTGATTCTAAATCAGTTGCATTTATCTGCCAAATTAAAATTATTAATAATATTTATTCCGGTCCTTTCGTACTAAAAATAAATCAACAAAAGATAGAAACTGACCTGGCTTACGCCGGTCTGAACTCAGATCATGTAGGGGTTTATTGTTCGAACAGAACAAGCTTTTATCACGGTTAGTGTACAAGTCCCTAGTCCAACATCGAGGTCACAAACTAATATTTATCATTATGCTGTTATCCCTCAGGTAGTTTAGTCATTCATAATAAATTCGTCAGATCTAATACCACTTTTAGTGTCAATAGAAAGGTTATATTGCTTTCTTGTCGCCCCAACAAAAAAGTGTATTGTATAATTACTTTAAGAGTAGTATCAAATTAAAGTCTTAAACAATCTTTATTTCAAAAACTCTAAGGGTCTTCTCGTCTTTTTTCTATATATTGGTATTTTCACCAGTTCATTAAATTAAAATAATATTTTTTATTATAGCTACTATTCATTACTTCATTCATACTAGACTACAATTAATAGCCAATTGATTATGCTACCTTAGCACAGTCAAGGTACTGCGGCCGTTTATATAAACACCGGGCAGAAGATATCGACAATAAAAATTTATTTCATCTGCCGACTATGTTTTTGATAAACAGTTGAATAGTTGATTTGCCGAGTTCAATAAAAAATATTTAAAAATTTTACTAATTTTTACATTATTAATATTACGAAATTCTCACTATTTATCCAATAATAATATCAAGTAACATAAGATCAAATTTTGGCGGGTAATTTTGCAGAATTAAATTTATTACTATATATATACTTATGTTGATAAATGAACAAATACAGTGTTAGCTGTCATCAGTGATAAATGCTATAAGCATTAGTAAAATAACAAGTTTTACTTATACTTTTAACATTAGAATATATAATTTTCTGAATATATAAAATTCTAAACAATTTTATACTGTTTAAAGTACTAAATACTTTTCCCCGCTATCCAGTTATCACAAAATTTGAAAGGTTTTTCACCCCTAATAAAAATTTATAGATATTAATTTTGATGCCACAAAATATTTTTTGTACCAAGATATAATAATTCTGAAACCGATTTACTTATTAGATCATAAAATTTGATTCGAGTAGATTAATATTTAAATTACTTTTTAGTAAAACACTTATGCAAAAGGTAGACAAACAGAAACAGAATTGTTTTGTTAACATAATGTATTTTCCATTACTGGATTACAATTACTAATGACTTATTTTATAATGTACCACATTAACATAAAAATACCAGGTAAATTAAGTATCTGGACCTGTTTATTGTAAATAAAACCGTACTAAGTTAGTACTTTATTTTTCTCAGTCATTCATCGAAAAGATTTTATAGGGATGATCAATCTCTATTATAAAGGGGAAGTCACTATAAAAATGGTATTCCAATCTTTTAATTAAAAGTTAATTGCTTTAATTTTAAGCTACCAAAAAGGAAACTATTTTATTATCCGATATGACAGTTACTTTAAAATTCGAATCAATACCAACGAGTAACTGCTTTTCATATAAAAATATAATCTCATTACTCTTATAAACACTAGACATACAATGACGGCTCATATCGAGTATTCAACTAATATCGAGAATACTAAGACTTTCGGGTAAAACAACAGAAATGGTGGAAGACCAGAAAACGAAATCATTATTATGCTAGATAGATAATTATCATTCCCTCATATTAGTAAAAAATATAGTTAGTGTTCCAAGATAAGCCAAAAAATAAGGAATAAATGTATTTATCAAAATAGTAATAATTATCCACCCACTATGGGAGATTCTTGACCTTCCCAACACACCCCGAACTGTTGATTGAATAATACCTAGTAACCCTCCAGCTACAACGGATATCACACCAACTAAGATTAATCATGGTTGTTTTGTGTTATCTATCAGCGTAACAATTAGAAATAGTGGTGCCACTTTTATAATAGATAAAACAAAAATAAGAGGTAGTTTTTTTCAGTCCTGAAACCACTTGAATTACTCAAAAATGCCCCGGAAAACAATCCTAACTTAAATATTAATCCAATCAAGAAAACCAGTATGAATACACTGGGCCCAGTGGTTAGTTCTCATACTATATACCCTCCTAACATAATCCACATTCTTCTAATGCTTTGGATAATAAAGTATTTTATAGTAACTTCACATGATAATGACAAATATTTCCTATAGTTTACTATGAGTGGCATAAGAGTCAAAAGACTTAATTCTATTATTAACCACACAAATAACCACCTAGTAGATATAATCGAAAGTATCTGCCCCAGAAAAGCTATAAAGTAAAACAATGATTGATACATGAACATATATGCTTCTGATAAACACCGAAAATGTAATACTTAACTTTCATATTAATCAACATCAATGATTTCCGTTCTACCGGCGGATGTTTATATAATTTTTGTATGTTAAATATATCTAGATAATAGTATATTATTATTCGTCAGCCATTTCATTTAGTAGAATTTAGCCCTTGACCTTTGCTTGTGTCTTTTAGAACACTTAGTATACCTATTGGTATAATTAATATAATTCGATCGAATGATATTTCACTTCTACTTTTAGGCTTAACTACTACCGCTTTAATTTCTTTCTTATGATGACGTGATGTCATTCGTGAATCTACTATACAAGGCCATCATACAACATTTGTTGTTAAAGGCCTTAAAATCGGTGTAGGACTCTTCATTATTAGGGAGATTTGTTTTTTTTTCGCTTTTTTCTGAGCTTATTTTCATAGCAGGTTGGCACCTTCTGTTGAAATTGGGTCTCATTGGCCCCCTACAGGAATTTACCCTCTTCAAGCATTCCAAGTCCCACTTTTAAACACTTGTGTATTGTTATTATCTGGTGTATCAATCACCTGAGCTCATCATGCCATTGAGGAAAAACAATTGGCGAGAGCACGGGATGGATTAGGAATTACCTGTCTTCTGGGCTTGTACTTTTTATTTTTACAATATGGTGAGTACCAAGAAACTTCTTTCACGATAAGAGATAGCGTTTATGGGTCATGTTTTTTTATAGCGACTGGGATTCCATGGACTTCACGTAGCAGTGGGGACTACATTCCTTATTGTGTGTTTCTTTCGGTTAATTAATTACCACTTTAGATCAAATCACCACGTTGGATTCTTAGCTGCCGCATGATATTGGCATTTTGTTGATGTGGTTTGATTATTCTTGTATATCAGAATCTATTGATGGGGGTCATAATGATAAAGATAGCTTAAAAGTGATGTAAAAGCATTGATTTTGTAAGTCAAAGAATGTAAGGGTTTACTCTTTATGAATTAATATTTAAGATAAGCTAATCTCGAAGCTATTGGGCCCATAACCCAAAAATGATACATAGTCTCTTAAAACCTCCTCATTTTATTCTAGTGAAGATATTAAAATGAAATAGCAATTTGACATGGAATTTATTGAGAATCCAGCAAAAAACGTTAACTAAATCTAGTAATAGAATTTTAGTGCAATTTCAACGTATTGTAACAAATAAGGTGCCAGCAGTTGCGGTCATACCTTAAACAAATTTAATATCGTTAGAGTGGGGACACAAATGTAGGACTTTAAAAAATTAAAAAGATAGTAAAATGTGTTTTAATTAGTATTAACTAACAATGTCTGAATTTGTTAATCTAAAATACCCGAAACTTTATAAAATTTAGTAAACTAGGATTAGATACCCTACTATAAAAAGCAAAAATTAAAACTCTAAGCACTAAAACCGAATTATGGTTAAAACTTAAAGATTATGGCGGCAGTCCTAAATTATTCAGGGGAACTTACCAGATAATAGATAACCCCCAAGCAATTCTACTTAACTTAATAGTTTATATATTGCCGTTTAGGACTTACTTAAAGTATGCCCAATCATTTGTTAAACAAATTTAATACAGGTCATAGTGTAGCAAATAGTTAAGCCGTTGAGGTGAGTTACAATATTATTTTTTTTCAGGTGTGATCTTAAAGAGATCACAAATAGTTGGACTTGAAAGTAAAGATACTTTATACTATAATGATTAAATCTTGAATACTATATTAGATTGTGCACAAATCGCCCGTCACTCTCGTAATTTACAACAAAACAAACGAGATAAGTCGTAACACAGTAGGTGTAAATGAATTTGTACCTGTTTTAAGTAGTGAGAAGAAACACACTATCTTTTCGAGATAGAGATGTATTGTATTTTACAATACCTTAAATAAGATGTCAGGAAAGCGAATAATTGCGCCAAGTTTCGGCCTTGGACCTCGGGATTTCTATCCCGTTTTGATAAATCTACACTGACCTATTTTCTTCTCTAGATGGGTGTATTAGATTTTATATCTGAATAACACCTTTGCTGGTGTGTATTTTCTTATCTACTAAATCACATTTATATAGTATGAATTCTGCTTTATCATTGTATTCTAATAATGTCATCAAAACAAAAAGTGGATTACCGGGGGCACTTATTTTTTTCATTGCTTTCATTAATTTGTTAGGATTAACTCCATTTACCTATGGTTTAAGTAGGTCACTTTGGTTCTCATCCGGGTTAGCCCTTTCCTTATGAGGATACCTTATTCTAAGTGGAATTAGTTTAAACCCTAAAAAATTCTTTGCTCATTTTTTACCGAGAGGTACTCCGACAATTCTTACTCCATTTTTAATTCTAATTGAGACGATCAGTGTATTAATCCGCCCATTAACTTTAACAGTTCGACTAATTGCAAATATTAGTGCTGGACACATTGTACTAGCTCTTGTTGCTAATTGCTTAAGTTCATGTAGCACTAGCTTCTCCAGAAGGATCTTGTTGATTCTTTCCATTGCATACAATTTTTTTGAAGTATTTGTTTGCCTTATTCAGGCTTATATTTTCACTCTATTAATTACTTTATATTCAAATGAACATCCCTAATCTTTTTTCTAGGTGTAAAACATTTAATTGCACAAAAAGATTTGAGCTTTTAGGAGGATACTAATTTCCAGAAAAAACAGGGTATTATATGTTTAAGATCGCAAAAAAGGAAGAAAGTTACTAGTCAATACAAAATCCTACAGATTATTTCAGACTTTGAAGGTCTACGGATTATAGATTATCCTATTTATATTGGGAAGGTTCTTCTTATTGCCATTTACAATGACAGGCACTACATATCTGCCACCAAAAACTTCAGATAATAGAATAGGAGATAAAAATAAATCAGAGGCATTATTATACTGGAATCCGGGCAGCACAATCCTTAAGAGGATGCCTTATTAGCCTCTTTCGGCTTCGATTTTTACCTTTTAGAATTATTTATTGTGGAGGAAATCAGTATTTTAAATTCGGGCTAATTTTTTTACCTTTTAGAATTATTTATTGTGGAGGAAATCAGTCGTTTAAATTCGGGCTAAATGTCCGAATAGAATTTCCTAGCTATGGTTTAAGGAGATCTCATTGATTCTAACCCGGTCAGCACAACCCCTTAAGAGGTGCCATATTAAGCTACATTCAGGCTTCGATTTTTACTTTTTAGAATTATTTATTGTGGAGGAAATCAGTATTTTAATTCAGGCGTAGATTTTTATTCTATCTTCCTCTAAATACCATTACTCAAAAAACGGCCTATGTATACAGTGTATTATTATTAGTTGATCCCTATCAACCCATTCACTAACATTCCCTCTATAAAATATTGGGAATGAGGTATACAGTGTATTATTATTTGTTGATCCCTATCATCCCTTTCACTAACATTCACTCTATAAAATGTTGGAGTGGAGTGTACATCATCAGAAAGGAAAAGAAAAAGAAAGATAGCAGGCATAATCCCTAGGCTTAAAACATTTTATTACACAACTAGATATCCTCGGGGATTCCCTTTCTCCTTAAGAAAAAACAGGAGGTTACCATCTTTAAGTTTGCAACTTAATGTTTTATTTAAACCATGTTTCTAATCTATAGCGATATTATTATTTACGATATCGTTACCATTAACCCGTAATGTAGTAATTATTAAGCTCAAGCCCAGTGCTGCCTCGGATGTTACTAATGTTAATACAATTAAAAAATCTCTTAGCCTAAACACAAGACCACTGAAATAAAAAGTAATAAACAGAATTTCTAGACTTAGAAGTTCTAAAATAACAATAAAGTATATGTAAGAGGTATACTTTGTTAGGACAAATACAGAAGTGATAAAAATAAGAATGTAGAAATAAGTTACGATTCAATATAAAATCCTACTGATTATTTCAGACTTTGAAGGTCTACGGATTATCATATCCTATTATATTTGGGATAACTCTTCTTGCCAATTACACTGACATGCATATTTAATCTTACCTCAAATCCTATTTTACCAGTACTTGGATAGGTATGAAAGAATGGTTAGCTCCACAGATTTCGCTACACTGCCCATAATATTTTCCTGGATAGTTTCAATAAAGATTCATTCTATTTAGTCGGCCTGGAACTGCATCTATTTTGACTCCGATACTTGGTAAGGCTCAAGCGTGCAACACATCAGCTCTGGTTAATAGGTTCGAATAATTAAAAGAAGTATTAAGACATAAAGGAATATCTACTTCTAAAAGTCGGAAGTCTGAATTTGAAGACATATATCTGTCAAAGCCTACATGATCCACTTCATACCTTCAATATCATTGATGTCCGATTCTTTTAAAAACTTATCTCAGTTTTCCTATTATCATCTAGGAGGTATAACAATTGTATACTTGGGAAAGCTAACCAGAGTAATAGTAGTGCTGGAATTACCGTTCAGACGGTTTCTAATAGTTGAGCCTCTACGATAGTCCGTGTAGTTAATTTAGTAGTAAGTAATCTCACACCTATGATACAAACGAAGGTAAAAATTCCAATAAGTAATGTTAAAGCGTGGTCATGAAATAAAATTATCTCCTCCTGAATAGGTGATGCTGGATCTATTAAATTTATTTGTCCTCAAAATCTCAATCTAACAAAGGTTAATCGACCATCAAAGCATCTTCAATGCATTGCTTTTATTTAAGCTATATGTTAATTGTTCACACGTTTTTACTAATAATTATATTATCTATAACTTGACAAGTTATTATTTTGATTAATTAAACTAAGTAAAATGACTAAATGATAGGACAAATTATGATAATAATACACATAGATACTGGTAGATAGCACTTTCAACACAAGCTTATCAATAGGTCATAACGCAGTCGAGGATAGGCTCCTCGTGAAAATAGAAATAGTAAAGAAATGGCAGTAAACTGAAACCTCGCTAGAAATGATACTCTTTGGGTGTTGGGAAAGATAACTCTCCTTGCAAGAACAGATATGAATAAAATGTTCGAATATTCTGCCAAGAATAAAAGAACAAATCTGCCTCCACCATATTCAATATTAAATCCAGACACTAATTCTGACTCACCCTCTGCAAAATCAAAAGGTGCTCGATTAGTTTCAGCTATTATACTACTCATAAAAATTATCAATAATGGGAAGAACAGGAATAAGTACCCAAAACCAGAATTAATCTCTTCAATCCTTAGTCTAGACGATAAAAAAGCTACAAAGAACACAATAAAAACAAAACTCACTTCATAAGAGATAGTTTGTGCCATTGCCCGCATGGCTCCCAAAAAAGCGTATTTTCTATTGGAAGCCCATCCGGACATTATAATACCAAATACATTAAATGAGGATAATACTAAGAAAATAATCATGGACAAGTTTAATGTTCTTGTGCCGCTGGGTATAGGATACATTATTCAAAACATCATTGCCAAACTAAAAGCCACTATAGGTCTTACCCAGTACATTATGTAGTTAGCTTTATATGGTGACAACAGTTCTTTAGTAAAAAGCTTCACTGCATCAGAAATAGGTTGCAATAGTCCTATCACGCCAATTATTTTAGGTCCTTTTCGAATCTGAATGTATCTTAATACTTTTCGTTCAAGTAGCGTATAAAAAGCTACTCCTAATAAAATACATAAGCATGTTAATAAATTAGATAATATTAAGAGGGTCATTTAAAATATTTTATAATTATATGCGATCGTTTAGAAATAATTAAATTAATTTTTCTCCCTATATCTAACCAACCATTATCTAAATAGCCTAGATTTTTATGTAATATGAATAAGATATAAGGAGATTTATAATACAGTGGGCTTAAATAAAACAAGCTACTTAACAGCATAGTGTTTTTTTTTTCCCGCTTTAAATACATATATAAATAAACATAAAGATAACAGTGCTGACAGATTAATATATAGTCATCCATATACTGGTAACACACTAGGTTCTAAATCCGAAAAATCAAATGATCTGTAAAATTTTCCTAAAAGAACAGAACATAAACCAAGTATGATCATAGGTAAATAAATCTTTTTTGATGTGTTTACAGAACCGATGATTAAACCGCTCTTACTTCAACTAATACAGTATAGCATACGTAGAGTATAAATAAAGGTAAAAACTGTTGCGATAGCCATTAACCATAAGGATAACATATTAATGTTAGTAGTAAATATTTTCTCTATAACAGAATGTTTAGAATAATATGCACTTAAAAATGGAATGCCCAATAATGAAAGTCCACTTACATTAATAATTACCCCCGTCAGTGGACTTAATATCCCTACCACACACCGCCAAGAAGGCGTAAATCTTGACACCCAAAAGAAATTATCAAAATATTTCCAGCCGCCATGAAGAGTATAGCCTTAAATAAAGCATGTATATATAAGTGAAACAAAGCCAATAACGGGTATCCCATTCCAACAGTAAACATTATCACACCTAGTTGACTCAATGTTGATAAGGCAATGATTTTTTTAAGATCATTTTCAAATACAGCAGCTGATCTTCCTAAGATAGATGTTACTGCTCCTAAGAATACTAAAATGGAACCTGTGAACTCTCTAAAGTCAGAAATAATTATGATACGAATTATCAAATAAATACCAGCGGTTACTAGTGTCCTGGAGTGAACTAGAGCTCTAACAGGAGTTGGTGCTGCTATCGCAGCGGGAAGTCACGATCTAAATGGATATTGAGCTCTCTTTGTAAGTCTAGCGAGTAATAATAAAAACAAACAGGTTGTACTTATTACTGATAATATATATGTACCATTTTGTAAAAATCTGAATACACTCAGTATAATTAATACATCCCCAACCCGATTAGTAAGTAGTGTTTTAAACCCAGCCTGTTTTGATTCAAAAGACCTGTAATAAATAATAAGTGCAAACGACGTGATTCCTAACCCATCTCACCCTATTAATATGGTTAAGAAAGATGAGGACACAATTAATAAACATATTGAAATTACAAAGGTAAGAAGAATAATAAAAAATCGAGCTTGAAATACATCTTCTTTTATATAGACATCTCCGAATATAAAAAACACACCCCGAAATTAGAAATACTAATGATAAAAAACTTATGGATACTCAATCTAAAACATATGCAAGTTCAAACTGAGTAGTACAGAACGTAGCTAGATTAATTTGTAAAAAGACTGTTGTGTTAAAGTAATTTGTTAGAAGAAATAATATAAAAAAAACTAAGCTCCTACAAAACAATAAAATAGAAAATTTATTATTAGATTTAATTATATACATTCAAGTTCTTTGTAGATTTTAATATATTATAACTAGCGATTATTACAATGAACAAATATATAATAAGTATTACTAATAGATATAGAGGAAAATAAATATTTATCGTCATTAAACTTCCAATTGATGTATTTCAGTCTGCTGATAACATAATGATACAAATAAAGGTACAGATTCATTTTATATTCCATATAACGAGCAAATTAGATGTTATTATAACTGTATACATTATCAATACCATAATACCCACCGACAAAAACGATTATTATCAATAAAAATGCTAAATTCACCCTTTCCAAGACGGATAGACCACATAAAACACAAGTGTAAAAAATAATGATTAATAAATTTATATGGTTTTTATGATTTAGAAGCAAGTATAAATTACCTATTATAATAAAGGATATGAATATTTTCAAAAATAGTGTTCACTACTCTTTAACTTCCAAAGTTAATATTAACCATAACTGTTTTTGAACATATTTAATTAAGATACACGTTTATAAAGGAGAAACACTAGTCTCTAGATTACTATGAAAATCTGGAGGAAGTGCGTAATCTCATTCTCGAGATCTATGTGAACTTTCAGAAAATAAGTAACTCCGCTGTGACGTTAGAGCTTCTCATACTAAGAAAATGAACATTAATACTGCAATAATTCTGAATAGGGATCCAAATGATGAGATTTGATTTCACTTATAATATGTATCAGGATAATCAACATACCGTCGTGGTATTCCAGCCAAGCCTAAAAAATGCTGTGGAAAAAATGTTATATTCACAGCAAAGAACATAATAAAGAAATGAATTTTGGATCAAGATTCATGTATAGTTAATCCAGTAATTACTGGAAATCAGTAAACAAACCCAGCAAATAAAGCGAAGACTGCTCCTATTGATAATACATAGTGAAAATGAGCTACCACATAATATGTATCATGTAATATAATATCTAGAGATGAATTTGAAAGTACAATTCCGGTCAAACCTCCTAGTGTGAATAAAAAGATAAATCCTAATACTCAGTATATACTAGCAGTAAGTTTAGATTTACTTCCATAAATCGTTATTATTCAGCTAAAGACTTTAATCCCGGTTGGTACAGCAATTACTATTGTTGCTGCTGTAAAATATGCTCGAGTATCTACATCTATACCTACTGTAAACATATGGTGTGCCCACACAATAAAACCTAAAACACCAATACTTAACATAGCATAAATTATTCCTAAGGTACCAAATGCTGGTTTATTAGTAAAGTTAGATAAGATATGTCTGATGATTCCAAATCCAGGCAAAATTAAAATATACACTTCTGGATGACCAAAAAATCAAAATAGATGTTGATATAGAATAGGGTCTCCACCTCCTCTTGGATCAAAGAACCTAGTATTAAAATTTCGATCAGTTAATAGTATAGTAATAGCCCCTGCTAAAACAGGCAATGACAATAATAATAAAAATGCAGTAATTAACACCGATCAAACAAATAAGCTTATGCGTTCCAGTGTAATACCAGGTGAACGTATATTAAAAATGGTAGTAATAAAATTAATAGCACCTAGAATAGATGATAACCCAGCTAAGTGTAATGAGAAAATAGCAAGATCTACTGATGAACCAGAGTGAGCTACAGGTCCTGATAGAGGGGGGTAAACAGTTCACCCAGTTCCAACTCCACCCTCTACTATAGACCTACATAATAATAAGATAAATGAAGGAGGTAAAAGTCAAAATCTTATATTATTTATTCGAGGAAATCTTATATCGGGAGCACCAATTAATATAGGTACTATTCAATTCCCAAACCCTCCAATTATTATCGGTATAACTATAAAAAAAATCATTACAAAAGCATGTGCTGTAACAATTACATTATAAAAATGTTCATCCAATAGTACAAGAGATGTTCCTAATTCCAAACGAATTAACAAGCTTAAACCTGTACCGACCAATCCACACCAGATCCCAAAAATTAAATATAATGTTCCAATATCTTTATGATTAGTAGAATATAATCAACGCAAAGCAAAATAGATTTATTTTTAACAAAAGTAATAGAGGAGCTAAGTGTATTCCTATAACTAATATTTGATTATTAGTTAACTGATTTCCTCCAATAATAAACTCACTACCTTTACCATGATTAACCGCAGTATATAAAAATATATTATAACAGGCTGATAAAAAAATACACAGTCCTATTGTTACTATAAAATATACTCCTAAATTTGATAGCATTGGAACAATTAGTATCTCACCAATTAAATTTAATGTTGGCGGTGCTGCTATGTTAATACAAGTAAAGATAAATCATAGTAATGATAAAATCGGAAATATTGTTAAATACCCTTTTATGTATATTATACTTCGACTTGAAATTTTTTCATATCTATAATAAGCTAAACAAAACAAGGCAGATGAGCTAAAAGCATGGGCAAATATGGTTACAGTAGCCGCAAAGACACTTGAAGTGTTGTTATATAATGCCCCTAAGACCACCACCCTCATATGCCCTACTGACGAATAAGCTACTATGGCCTTTACATCAACTTGACGTAAACATATCAATCTAGATAAAACAGCACCCCAAATACTTAAAGAATAGATGAATACTCTTACAAGATTTATTCTTCTAATCGTAAATGTATTTCCCATTTTAACCAATCCATATCCTCCTAATTTTAACAATACACCAGCTAAGATTATTGAACCAGCTAAAGGAGCTTCTACGTGTGCTTTAGGAAGCCACAAATGAGTGCTATAAATTGGTAGTTTCACTAAAAATGCAGTTAAAACAAAAATGACTATATATCAATCCAAAGGGGTTTTGTTTAACATTTCTAAAATTTGAAAATCACAAGTATTATGTAAATTAAAAAAATACATAATTATGACCAACAATGGCAGAGAAGCAAAAACTGTGTATAATATTATATAGGTACCGGCCTGCAATCGCTCAGGTTGATACCCTCAGCCGATGATTAGGGCTAATGTAGGAATTAAAGAGGCCTCAAAAAATATATAAAAATAAAATATATTCTTAGTACTAAACGTCACAACTAGGAAGATTGCTAATATGATCAGTGTAGTGTTGTATTTAACAGATGATAGATTTTTAGAGCTAAGAAAAACCAATAAAAAAAGATAAACAGTTAAAAAAATCAATATATTTCTCAGAGCTCTTGAGTTTCATCCAATGTTCACGCTAAAAGTAAAAAACTGATTAATATTAATTAATCTTATTAAACTGGCCATAGAAAGAGAAATTATAACAAAAACTCAGTTATTACATAATAAAATACTACCAATTAGAACAAAAAAAAATTGATATTATCATATCTAAGAAAGACGGAAGTAAAATTTCCTCCCCTATTAAAGTTAGCAGCTTCAATATTATCTTTCCTTATAACTTTTGTTAAGTGAACGATTTTGAAAATCGATCCAGAGATAAATCAAGAGTATCTCAACAAAAAAATAATAACTAGTCATGTGTTCATTTGCATAATTCTGTCAACCGCTTTATTTCTAATATATATATTTCTAGCAAAACTCATATCAAGTAATCAAAATCTAAGAAAACTAACATCGTTTGAGTGTGGATACGACTCAATAAGCAAAATACGATCGCCATTTTCGACGAAATTTTTTGCGCTAATCGTTCTATTTGTTGTATTTGATATCGAACTCGCTCTGTTTTTTCCTCTAGCCTATTCGCTTCAAATCTATGCGGACCTTAAGAGTATTATGATTCTGATAGTAATCCTGTTGATTCTTATTGCTGGGGTATTTCTTGAATGACATAATGGTGCGTTGGATTGAAAATTATAAAGATTAAATGTAGCTTAAATAAAAGCACTTAACTGTTAATTAAGAAGATACAATTATGTAGTCATTTAAACATCCCTCAACTCAGCCCCACTTATGGAATTCTAATTTTCCTATTTGTAAACTCGACTTTGTTCTTTATTATTATTATAAATACATATAATCGAAATAAAAAAAATAACGAAATAACTTAGTAATACGAATATTGCTAGATCTAAATTCTCGCTATTGTACTTTAAGATGGCAGACTAAAATGCATAGACTTTAAGCGTCTAAGATGGGGTTAAGTCCCTCTTAAAACAACCTATAGATGATAATATATTTTTAGTATCACAAACTAATGGTTTATTTTAACCTACTACAGGAGCTTTTAAAAAAGATTTTTTACTTGGAAGGTAAGTGTAATGTTTATACTACTAAAAACAAATATATTATTTCTCCAAGGCATTTTTTCACAGAATTGAACTAATAGGCATTAAAAATAATAGAAAAAAGTACATAAAAGTTATTGGGACAGCTAAGGTACTATAAGGGGCTTCAATAGGACAAGACCCTAACCAGGTCAATAATATAAAATTACCACAAAACAACCAAAACAGTACTTGATATATTAAGTTAAACGATGTAGAAATTATTTTTTCAAATTTAATTATAGGTAGAACATACAACACTATAATTCTTGCAGCCAAAGCGATAACCCCCACCCAATTTAGAAGGAATGGATCGTAAAATCGCATAAGCAAATAAAAAATATCATTCTGGTATAATATGTACTGGCGTAACTATCGAATTAGCTAACTGATAATTTTCGGGGTCTCCTAAATAATTTGGGAAGTATAATGATACGAAAATTAATATTATTAATACAGTAATAAACCCTACACTATCTTTTCACGTAAAATAAGGATGAAAGGGTACTTTTCTGAGATGGTTAACACAACCTAATGGGTTAGTGCTGCCTATTTCATGAAGAAAAAACTAAGTGTAATATGGCCAGAATTATGATAATAAATGGTAAAATGAAATGTAATGAATAAAATCGATTTAGTGTAGCCTGACCAATACTAAAACCTCCTCATACTCATTCAACAACTATACCACCAACATAAGGGATAGCTGATAAAAAGTTAGTAATTACAGTAGCACCTCAAAAAGACATTTGACCTCAAGGAAGAACATACCCTAAAAATGCTGTTGCTATGCTCAATAAAAAAAATTCTAGTCCCTACCATTCAAGATTTAGGTTGTGTAATATAACTTTGGTAATACAAACCTCGAGCAATATGAAGATATATAAAAACAAAAAAGAAAGAGGCTCCATTAGCATGGAGACTACGGACCAACCAACCTA